CTTAATTTATATATTTATTCTTCTTTATTTAAGAATATATTCTTAATTTAAGAATATAGTCTTTTTCGATAGTGAGATATAGTGTATGTTTTTCTATAGAGGCTTTTTATATTCTAATCAGTATATGGGTGATTCTCTGTGAACGCGTAAATTTCAACTTTCAGTTTTGATAAAAAATAATTATTATTAACTAACGGATAGCGATGAATTATGTTTTTTCATACCATTTTAAGTCACCATTCGTAATATGAATACGTGACTATGCAATATAAAAAACTTATCTATGTTTTTTATGTCAATATACCACGGAGATTACAGTCCACGGAGATTACGTTTTTTGAGAATTACCCATATATTCTTATCAATATTACTATTTAGAGGATTTTCCTCTTAAAATAAGAAACTCTTCTATTTATATATATATTCTTCTGAAATTAAGAATATATTCTTACATAAAGAATATATTCTTAATTTCAGAAGAATATCATCTAAAATCTTGAAGAAGATTTTTTAAGTATAAAATTTTCTACTTACGAGAATATCATTTTTTCGGTGTATATTTAAACCCTCAACGGACGGACATGGGTCGTTTTCGTCTGGAGCAAAATTACTTTCTGAAGAAAGTAATTTTCTTGTTGTCATATTTGCTAAAACTTCAGAATTAAAACTTTTTTTTCACTAAATTTAATGACGGTGTCTTAAAATAGACGGTTTAAAGAGTATATACACATTGTTTCAGAGATTTTTTTTAGAAATATTTAATATTTTTAAAAAGCCCAAGACGAAAACGACCCATGTCCGACGAATTAAGGTGCCGAAAAACACGCCGTCCGTTGAGGGGTTGATAAGATCATCTTAAAGTTTATCTCACGACGCTGTACGAACCGTGTTTCATTCGCCACGGAGATCGCGAAAGAAAGTGGATTTGAAGACAAACTTATAAAATCTAAAATATCGCACATTGGACGTATCGACTGTTAATATCAACCTCTGAGTGATATTTTTAGAGCGAAAGTTTTGCAATTTTTCTTCAAGTAATAATATGTGACGATAACTTCAACCGATCGACACCGAATGCTTTCCAACATGATTTTTTTTTTGAAATTCGCGAGTTAGATATCGCTCGCTACAAGTGTGCCAATGCATTTTTCCACGAATTATGTAGTACAAAATGAACAATCGACGTTGAGAAATCCGGTGCATTTTGACAGGCTGCGCGGCAAGTTTGGGAGAAGAAACGGTGTGCGTAAATATACAAATACACATACATAGTACACACACACACACACACACATATATATATACACACATATATATAGTTCGAGCAATAATAATAAGGAAAAGTGTTAAGAAAGCGATGAAAACGATCGTGTCGAGTGTACAAAAATGATAACCGACTATTTTATCGGTTTTTGAGAGATTCGCGAGAACAAACAGGATAAAGAGAAATGTGAAGAAACAGTGACAGACTTATCAAGTGTGTTCCACTTTCTATAGAAATTTGACAATTTGTTAAATAAAGAAATAAATACGTATGCGGTATCGCCTCTTTTATATTTTGCACACACTTTAAGTTTAAAAACCAAACTATAGATATGATAATTTCGAAACTAGTGTTTTAAAATAAAAATATATATAATAAAAAATAAAAATATATATATATATATATATCATCGCTCGAAGAACATAATAGAAATATACAATACAAGAGAATATCGGTTATCAGATTTGTTTGTATCCAAAATCTTCAAAGATATAATTTTTACGTAATATACGTACCCACATTTATGCGGATTAAATTAGAAGAAACTAAAAGTGATAGAAAACATGACAAGTTGTTTTTCTTAACATCGCATATCAATTACACGGCGTTTGCGATTTACGACGTTTCTCAGCGACGTTGTTCCCGTCATCGTTGCCGGTTATTAAAAAATTGTTGTTACTGTTATTATAGTTTCTACTAAGCTCCCCCACCTGTGTGTGTGCGGGATTATCAGTTGTTGCCGCTGCACCATTGCTTGGTGCATCACAAATCAATTAATAGCACATATATAAATAATACTATATATGTTTATATCACTATAATTATATTATATCGCTGCGACCATTATACTGTCATAGAATATATATATATATAAAAAAAGATCGGTATAATTTAATGGTTTATCAAACGCGGTTTGCGAGCCATTATTTGTTTATCAAGTTTTCATTAACGTAATGGAACATTATTTCTGTTTTTTTAAATATTGATAATTATTAATATTGAAAACAAATGATCCAAAAACGCTTGTCAGCAATCAGTTTAGAATTAATAAAATTTAATAATGTTATCGTGTTCAAGAATGTTGCTGTTATGTAATTTTTGTTTTTATTCTCTCGAATATATTTGACTTTTTCAACTATTATAATTTATTTCTTGAAATTATAATTTATTTGTTTTCGTTGTTTTCTTTCAACAACAAAATTGTAAGAAAAATCACGTAATTATGGATAAGAGACACCGCCGTGCCTCTTGATTGATGGTTTTGTAAATCGTGAGTCTTACAAGATAATATTATAGACTGTCGAGATTGACGTATGTTGTATATTATTGGCGAGTTGATAAATTGACAAACTGCGTTTCGATAAACCACGAAGTTGCGCAGGAGCCTCTTGACACATGTATACTTTTATTATTTTACTATTTTATTATATCAAGTCTATACTAACTACACTCTCTTTGTAACGGTGTTGAATATATAGATTTGACATATTGCTGGCATGATATGGATACGACAAAAAAAAAATAAAAATAAATAAAACTGATATTTCTAACTTTGCGTATCTTTTATATCTGAGTCCTGGAATTTATTTTTAAAATTATGAAGATCCACATGTTTTTGCAAGTTTATTGTTATCGACAAGTATGTACGACTTATTGCTTGTGTCATTTACCCGGACACTTCCATCTGATGCTAATATTGTTAATAATTCTTGATGGAAGTGGTTTGCGTCTTCGCTAAAATTCACGTCGGCAAAGAAACGATATAGCGATTTCGGCTGGTCTGCACCGGTGTGCCACCTGTGTAGAGTTGGTGCAATTGNGTGCAACACCGCATCGGTGTGTGTACTGATTACACTAACTG